TTTGTCAGCGTCTAGTCGCTAGTGCGGAAGGGCCCTTTACCACCGTGTGCATAACTACGCGTCCCCCCAGACGGCGGAGAGCCAACAAAATGCTCAGACACTACTTCAGAAAACTCCGCCTCTGACTGAATTTTTGGTAGCCTATTGACCAATTCCCAATCGAAACTTAACTCTGACGTCACGCGTAATTTTGCTCACGGTGGTAAGTAGCCTACTTACCGAAGCCAGATTGTATGAATTTTCTAGACATCTTGAGTACTATCTGTGATACAAGCTTGCTAATTCCCCCATCAGCTTTTGGAATCGACTTAACCCTACCTTTACCATGGCTGGAAATTTCGTTTGGCACCCTACATCTGCTATTGGAACCACGATTCCACCCAACACCGAGATTTGATCAGTGAGTGGGGTAATTTGTAAAATCATCGACATCTTTTGGCGTCTCGAAGATGCCGGCACGCGTCAAAACAAGATCAACTTCATTTTCTGGATCTGAAAACTTGCAACTCCGCAAGTGACATGAAATGTCTTTTTAACAATCACGCAAGGGAACGATTTGGTCTTCTCGATAACTAAACCCACGTTTAACTTAATTTTGAAGAGTCTTCGACCTGATATTGAGAAAGACTTTGTCACAGAGCAGCTTGTTTCTGCCGAATGTAGGCTGGTTATATGTCTTTACAGATTAGGTAGAGGTGACTACCTATACACCATTGCGGAACTGTTTGGCCTTGGTGTGACGACCGTTTACAAAATCATAGAGGAAGTATGTGAAGCGATCATAAGAAACCTGTGGAAACCTTCGGTGCAAGCGCATTTTCCAATCACCAAACAGAATATTATGGAGAAAATGGTGGATATGACAGAGTTTTGGCAATTTCCCTGCTGCTGGGGTGCTGTAGATGGGTACCACATCCCCATTCAGTGCCCTCCTGGCGGTCTGAAAGTCTGTAAAGAGTATCATAACTTTAAGAACTTTTATTCAATAGTATTGATGGCCATTGAAGATGCACAGGATCGTTTCATCTGGGCAAGTGTTGGTTTTCCAGGAAATTCACACGATTCCATCATATTCCAGTCCACTGATTTGTGGCACAATTTCTCAAGTCATTGAAGGTACCAAGGTTTACCCGATGATTTTGGGCGATTCTGCTTTCCCATTCAGAGTGTGGTTAATGAAACCATATGGTAATACTAACCTTACACATGAAGAGGGCTATTTTAACTATCGTCTAAGCCGCGCAAGAATGGTAACTGAGCG